AGAGGCAACATGTGAAAAGACAAATGCTGAAAAATGCTTTGAGAACTGCTGAATCCATAGATGCATGATCAAAAGATCCCTAGCAGGGCAGAAAAACAAGAGAAGAAAAAAAAAAAAATAAAAAGACTGATTAAAGACTTCTAGATAAGTCACAGTAAAACTGTCCTACACCAAAAGGAAAGAGGAAATCTTAAAATCAACTAAAAGGAAAAACAAAGGATTACCTTAAATACTGATCATAACAAACAACCTCTGCAACGACATAAGCGATGGCTCTACACATTGGCATCATTAGATGATCAATACTGAAGTCAGACTGACTATATTCTTTGCAGCCAAAGATGAAGAAACTCTATACAGTCAGCAAAAACAGGAATGAGAGCTGACTGTGGCTCAAATCATAAACTCTGTATTGCCAAATTCAGACTTAAGTTGAAGAAAGTAGGGAAAATCACTAGTTCATTCAGGTATGACCTTAATCAAATCCCTTACGGTTATACAATGGAAGTGAAGGACAAATAGATTCAAGGGATTAGATCTGATAGACAGAGTACCTGAAGAACTATGGACAGGGGTTTGCAACACTGTACATGAAGCTGTGATCAAAACCACCCCCAAGAAAAAGAAATACAAAAAGGCAAAATGGTTGTCTGAGGAGGCCTTACAAATGGCTGTGAAAAGAAGAGAAGTGAAGGGCAAAGGAGAAAAGGAAAGCAGAGAAGCAGAGTTCCAAAGAACAGCAAGGAGAGGTAAGAAAGTCTTCCTCAGTGATCAATGCAAAGAAATAGAGGGAAACAATGGAATGGTAAAGACTAGAGAACTCTTCAAGAAAATTAGAGATACCAAGAGAACATTTCATGCAAAGATGGGCACAATAAAGGATAGACATGGTATGGACTTAACAGAAACAGAAGATAGTAAGAAGAGGTGGCAAGAATACACAGAAGAACTATACTAAAAAGAAAACTTAATGACCCAGATAACCACAACTGTGTGACCACTCACCTAGAGCCAGACATCCTGGAACACAAAGTCAAGTGGGCCTTAGGAAGCATCATTATGAACAAAGCTAGTGGAGGTGATGGAATTCCAGTTGAGCTATTTCAAATCCTAAAAGATGATGCTGTGAAAGTGCTACACTCAATACGCCAGAAAATTTTGAAAACTCAGCAGTGGCCACAGGACTGGAAAAGGTCAGTTTCATTCCAATCTCAAAGAAAGGCACTGACAAAGTATGTTCAAACTACTCACAAGTGCACACATTTCACACTCTAGAAAAGTAATAGTCTTCCCCTAGAGCTCAATTGGTAAAGAATCTGCCTGCAATGCAGGAGACCCAGGTTCAGTCCCTAGGTTGGGAAGATCCCCTGGAAAAGGGCATGGCAACCCACTCCAGTATTCTTGCCTGGAGACTTCCATGGACAGGGGAGGCTGGTGGGCTACAGTCCATGGGGTAGCAAAGAGTCTGACCCAAATGAGCAAACTAATACACACACAGCAAAGTAATGCTCAAAATTCTCCAAGTGAGATTTCAGTAGTACGTGAACTGAGAACTTCCAGATGTTCAAGCCGGCCTTAGAAAATGCATAGGAACCAGAGATCAAATTGCCAACATCTGTTGGGTCATAGAAAAAGCAAGAGAGTTCCAGAAAAACATCTACTTCTGCTTCATTGACTATGCTAAAGCCTTTGACTGTATGGATAACAACAAACTGTGGAAAATTCTTCAGGAGATGGGAATACTAGACAATCTTACCTATATCCTGAAAACCTGTATACAGGGAAGAAGGAACAGTTAGGGCCAGACGCAGAACAATGGAATGGTTGCAAATTGGGAAAGGAGTCCACCAAGGCTGTATATTGTCACCCTGCTTATTTAATTTCTATGCAGATTATATCAGGCAAAATTTTGAGCTGGATGAAGTACAAGCTGGAATCAAGAGTGCCATTGGAAATATCAATAACCTCAGATATGCAGATGATACCACCCTTATGGAAGAATGTGAAGAGGAACTAAAGAGCCTCTTGATAAAGGTGAAATAGGAGGGTGAAAGATCTGGCTTAAAACTCAACATTCAAAAAACTAAGAGCATGATATCCGGTCCCAATAGATGGGGTGACAATGGAAACAGTGACAGACTTTATTTTCCAGGGCTCCAAAATTACTGCAGATGGTGTCTACAGTCATGAAATTAAAAGATGCTTGCTCCTTGGAAGAAAAGCAATGAAAAAACCTAGGCAACATATTAAAAAGCAGAGATATTACTTTGCCGACAAAGGTCTGTCTAGTCAAAGCTATAGTTTTTCCAGTAATCATGTATGGATGTGAGAGTTGTACCATAAAGAAGGCTGAGAACTGAAGAACTGATGCTTTTAAACTGTGGTATTGGAGAATACTCTTGAGAGTCCCTTGAACTGCAAGGAGATCAAACCAGTCAATTCTAAAGGAAATCAATCCTGAATATTCATTGAGAGGACTGATCCTAAAGCTGAAGCTCCAATACTTTGGCCACATGATGCAAAGAGCCAACTCATTTGAAAATACCCTGATGCTGGGAACAATTGAAAGTAGGAGGAAAAGGTGAAGACAGAGGACATGATCGTTGGATGGCATCACCCACATAATGGACATGAGCTTGAGCAAATTCTGGGACATGGTGAAGGACAGGGAAGCCTGGAGTGCTAAAGTCTATGGGGTCACAAAGAGTTGGGCATGGCTGAGTGACTGAACAATGACAGTATTCAAATAAAGTTACCTTCAAAGGGATCTTCCAAAGGGGGTCGAATAATTTAACAATGGATTCTCTACCTCAACATGGAAAGCCATAAGCAAGTAGGATAGCTTTAATACACTGATAGAAAATAACTATGAAACAAGAATTGTATAATGAGTGCAGTATCTTTTAAGATACCTATATAAAAGAAAGACACTGAGCAATTTCATCACTAGATTTACTTTACACTAGAATTATAAAGAATATATTAAGTTGATGGCTGAGTAATTACTCAGCCATTAAAAAGAATTCATTTGAATCAGTTCTAATGAGATGGATGAAACTGGAGCCCATTATACAGAGAGAAGTAAGCCAGAAAGATAAAGACCATTACAGTATACTAACACATATATATGGAATTTAGAAAGATGGTAACGATAACCCTATATGCAAAACAGAAAAAGAGACTCAGATGTATAGAACAGACTTGTGGACTCTGGGAGAAGGCGAGGGTGGGATGTTTCAAGAGAACAGCATTGAAACATGTATATTATCTAGGGTGAAACAGATAACCAGCCCAGGTTGGGTACATGAGACAAGTGCTCGGGCCTGGTGCACTGGGAAGACCCAGAGGGATCGGGTGGAGAGGGAGGTGGGAGGGGGGACTGGGATGGGGAATACATGTAAATCCATGGCTAATTCATTTCAATGTATAACAAAAGCTACTGTAATGATGTAAAGTAATTAGCCTCCAACTAATAAAAATAAATGGAAAAAAAATTAAATAAATAAATAAATAAATAAAGAGAGTGGCAGGAAGATCTCGTACAGAAGTGACATTTGAGCAGAGATGTAGGGGACCTGAGGGAGGGACCACAGTACAGCCTAGGAAATGGGTGTAGCTGGGGAAGCTATCCAAGGCGGAACCCTGGTTGTCTGACACTAAGAGGGCAGGAGATGAAGAGGACCCAGCAAAGGAGACTGGAAAGGAAGAAGGAAACCGGGTGAGTGAGATGTCCTGGGAGCCAAGTGACCAAAGCGCAGAAAGACGACGGGTGATCGTCTGTGAGCAGCACTGCTGCGGTTCAAGTAAGAAAAGAGGACAGAACTGACCAGTGCATTGAGCAACATAGAGCAAAGTGGACCTTTTCAAGAGCAATTTTAGTGGAATAAAGCCTAAATGGAGTGGCCTCAAGAAAGAATGGGGGGGGGGGGAACTTCCCTGGTGGTCCGGTGGCTAAGACTCCTCGCTCCCAATGCAGAGGGCCTGGGTTCAATCTCTGGTCAGGAGAGTAGACCTCACCCACCACAACTAAAGATCCCACATGCTGCAACAAAGATCAAATATCCCAAGTGCCACAACTAAGACCTAGCACAGCCAAATAAATAAATATCTAAAATGAAGAAGAAGAAGAATGGGAGGAGAGGAATTGGAGACGAGCACGGTCCACTCTTTCGAGTTTTTTTGTAAAAGGGGACAGAAAATGGGACAGTTACTAGCAAGTGGGATTGAGAGTTGTGTGGTTTTTTTTTTAAGATTGTGTTAAGCACCATAAACAGATGCTTTAGGTGGATGGAAGTGACCCAGTAAAGGCCAGGAGACTTGTGGAGCCACTTCCTTGAGCAGTGAGGGCAGGGTGGGTTTTGCCCAGGGTATAGGCTCCCTTGGATGGAGGTGTGGATCACACAAGGGGACGTTCCTTCTGATTTTCTCAGTGAAATAGGAAGCAGTCTTCAGCTGAGAGTAAGGGTTGAGAAGAATGTGTCATAAGCTTGAAAAGAGAGGACGGACTATGAAACCACTATCTAGGATGGGGGGAGGGACTGTGGACCGGGGAAGGATGGTAAGATTGCTGGGCAGTATTGAGGGCCTGCTTGAGGTCCCAGATCATAAACTTAAGGTGAGATGAATGAGGTCATCTGACTGTACAGGTACATTTGGGGTCAAGAGTAAAGGTGAAGTGTAGGCAGAGGAGTGGATGTAACCAGGTCAGGGATTTTTCCAGTGAATGTGACCAAAGCAGAGAGGATCAAGGTGGTGGAGAGGGTTTTCAAGAGACTCTGACTGGGTGAGGAAGAAGATAAGCACACTTGGAAGTTGAGAGGGAAAGGACAGGAGCCAGAACCAATGGACTGACAGTCCTGGAGGATCGAAGAACTCTCTGAGTCCGAGGGAAGGAAGGAGTGAGGTGGGAAGATAAGGAAATCAAGAGACTTCCCTGGCGGTCCAGCAGTTAAACACTCTTCCACTGCAGGGGTTGCGGGTTTGATCCTTGGTCAGGGAACTAACATCCCACATGCCAGGTGGTACGCCCCAAAAGTAAGACAAATAGGTGCAGATGAGTGGATGGACATAATCATTCACTAAAGGAAATCAAATGCATTAGCTTTCTGAAGGGATTTCCATCAATACCCACAGTCCCTCCAAAATATTCAGATAGGGGCCATACCATCCTCCCAGCCAAGATAGAGAAAGAAGATTGATCAAGTTAATGTCTGGTGCAGACAGCAGAGTTGATGTCAGTTGATTCCAACAACCTGAGCCGGAGTTCTCCAATGTCACCCACTCAGATGTCACACACTCTTGTCCAGGTGTCATGTCTGTGGCCTCACACTTTCCAGGATGGGGGTAGGGCAGGACCATGGGGTTTCCATCTCATGGTGTCATCACCACATCTGTTCCTTAATTATCAGTTGACCTTGGTGTCTGGCTGGCTGCCCGGTGGTAACTGTCCTCTCATGCCCTTGTAAAGGAATGTGTACACTCCCCACACTGATGGGCTACTGATAAGATCACATCCTGGGTGCTGATAATCATCTCTCCAATAACTGGCTTTTGGGGGCACCTCCCTGAAGTCCCTGATCACACTGTACCCCACCCCTAGTCCTGCCACGCTAATGTGCTAACACTCCTGACCAACAGCACGAGGGAGGTGGGCACCGTGGCACAGGTGAACGGGGCTGTAAGCAGTAGGAAGGGGGCTGCTCTGCTCTGAGAGGGTGCTGTGAAATCACACACACACACACACACACACACACACACACAGAGTCTACCTTGCCCAGCTCTCCTGGATCTCCAGGTATCTTTGGGCTGATCAATAGATTGCAGCCTGGCTGGACAGAATCCCAAGGCAGGATAAGCCATGGAGGGTGGAAGGAGTCACACTTGAGCCCCAGGGATCTTCCCAGCCCTTCCTGGCTCTCTTTGAAGTCAGAAAGAGGCTCAACACTTAGACTGAGTACTTGGTGGCTTCCTCTCCCTCTCCACCCATCCTCATCTCTATGGATGGCCTGCCCCTTGCCTTTTCTGCATGCTGAATACTATCTTATCATTGGAAGATCCCCTCAAATGTTCCCTTCTGGACAGAATTTGTCATTCATTCCACTGGAAGCACACTGGTCCTCCCCTCTATAGGGATGCTCACCACATGGTTGAACCCAAAGCCTGTCTGGTTCCTCTGCTGGACTTGAGTTCCTGGGCACTTTGGCTTTCCCAGAGCCTGGCATGGGTCTGGCATAGGGCTGAATAAATGAAAGATGCTGGCATTTAAGAGTGAAGGAATGAATAAATGAATGGATGGATGGAGGGGAGGGCAGAGGATGGGTGGATGGGAGAATGGGTGAACAAATTTCGGGGTGGGTGCATGAACAGATGGATGTATTTCTGATACAGGGGATGATGGAGGAGGAGGTCACCTTATCAAGAAAGTGTGGGCTTCCCCAGGTCTGTCCTCTAGAACAGTTTTCATTTTAAGAGTCCCACTTCCTTCTGTAAGCTCGGACCCCTACAGGATAGTTACAGAGAGTTCTTCTGGGTCTCTCTTCTTCCCTTAGCTCTAGGCTTAGCATTTTTAGGGGGTTTAGATGAGGCAGAAATGGCTAAAATATACTGAGTTCCCACTATGGGTCTAACACCAGGCTAGACATTTTTACAGATGTGGCCTTGTTTAATAAAAATAGCACCCCAGTTCTGTGAAATTGGTTCTATTATATTATCCCATTTTTACAGTGAAGAAAATGGGCTCAGAGACACTAAGTGAATTGTCTAAGGTCATACAGCTAATGTCTAGCAAAGGATGGGATTTGAATTTAAAACCTACTCAAGGAGCCAGGGCTGGATGGGCTAGAGATCAAGTGACACCGAGGAACCAGAGGCCGGGATGGCGGGCGGCAGGGCTGGCCCTGCTCTGAAGACAGGGGCTCTGAGTTCTAGTCCTGACCTGGCCTCTTTTACTGGCAGACAGTGGGTGAGACTTTGCCCATCTCCAAGCCTCAGTGTCCACATGTGAATCTGCTGCCCCTCGGGAGTCTCTTCCAAGTGAATGTTGCAGAAATCGAGGTGGATGTAAGGAGCTTCCTTGGGATGTCCCATCCTTTCTCTGCCAGCTAGTGACCAAAGGGCAGGGCTGCACATTAGATAATGGTTAACTGGACCTGAGGCCCCATCTATAAGGCAGACACCGAGCTGGCCAAGATTCCACAGGATGCAGTGGGTGAAGGTACTGGGAGGGGTGGTGGGGGCTGCTGCCCTCTTGGGGCTGGGGATCATTGTGGGTCACTTTGCCATCCCCAAGGGGGCTGACTCGCCAGCCCCCAGTGCCTCAGCCTCCCAGGACCTGGACCTGAAGATCCTCGAGACGGTCATGGAACAGCTAGATGCCAACAGGATCCGGGAGAACCTTAGGTGAGAGGCCTGCCTTTGCGCCTCTCCCATGTGCCAGAGGCCTCTCCCTGACCCTGGACCCACCCCTCTCTCGCCCACCCTGCAGAGAACTCTCCAAGGAGCCGCATCTGGCCACCAGCCCCCGGGATGAGGCGCTGGTGCAGCTGCTGCTGCAGCGCTGGCAAGACCCGGAGTCAGGCCTGGACTCAGCCAGGACCACTGAGTACGAAGTGCTGCTGTCCTTCCCCCGCGAGGAGCAGCCCAACCGTGTGGATGTGGGTGAGTTCCGGCTCTGGCTCCGGGATGCCTGGGGGCTGGGCCAGCTGCCGGTTCTCACCCCAACACCGCCCTCTCTCTGCAGTGAACTCCACTGGGGCCGTCCTCTTCTCCTGCCGACAGAGTGAGGAGAACGTGACCGGGGAGCAGGGGGGCCCCGATGTGGTGCCGCCCTATGCTGCCTATGCTCCTCCTGGAACCCCACAGGTGGGCCTGGGATACCCCCTCCCCACTGCCATGGCCCAACTCCCCCTTGTTCCCACTTCAGCTGCTCCCATCCTGACCCCACGGGCTGTTGAAGCAAAGTGCCTCAACTGGAGCTCAGCCCCCTACCCAGAATTTACTCGCTTCCACTCTGCATTACTACTCCTTTTGCCCATCACTTAGTCATTCAACAAACACTAACGGGCCCTGCTCCAGGCCTGGCCTGTTACAGAGTACCTGGACACAGAGCACAGAGAAAACCAGGTGTGACTTGGTCTTGGGGAGCTGAGCAGCTCTGGGTGAGGTCGGGGGATGGGATCTAAATCCTTCATCCTGCCATTCAGCCTTTCCCTCTCTTTCCTGGGCCTGGCTCTAAGTCACCTTCTCTTGGGAATAGGGCCCCCTCGTCTACGCCAACCAGGGCTCGGAAGAAGACTTCAAGAAACTACAGAAAGAGGAAGTCAAACTCCAAGACAGCATCGTCTTGACCCGCTATGGGGGTGTAGGGCGTGGGGCTAAGGTAAGCAGCAGCCCCCAGTGCAAGGGGCTGGGTGGGGAGAGGGGCCGGCAATGGACAGGAGGAGTGAGGGGAAGGGGATGGGCGGTGCTGAGTGGAGCACCAAGTCCTGGGCTTGGGGCCGAAGGGGCTGCTGATTCCTCCTTCCACCCACGATGGATGGTATGGGACTCCGCCCACCCAGGTTCTAGTCCATGGGTAGGCCCAAAGAATACTTATGTGCTATGTAACCATGGGTGCCTCCCCCAACATCCCTGAGCCCTGGGAAATAAAGGAATTGGGCAACATTTTCAGCTTTCATATTCTGGAAGTCGAAGTCCTCCTGTGAAGTAGTTCTCCTAAATATCTGACTTAAATCCCTCCTGTTGTCCCCTTCCACCCACCAATTTGCTTCTTTTCCATACAGAATTTTGATGGAGGATTCCATGCCTATTGCTATTTATTGTTATTTTATTTATTTATTTTATTTTTAGCTGCACTGGGTCATGGTTGCTTGATGCGGGCCTTCTCTAGTTGCGGCAGCAGGGTGGGAGGCTATTCTTCATTGCGGTGCATGTGGCTTCTCCTGTTGTCTAGCACCAGCCGCAGGGCACTCGAGCCTCAGTGGTTTTGATGCACAGGCTCCACAGTCGTGGCTCGAGGGCTTACTTGCCCTGCTGCATGTGGAATCTTCCAGACCAGGGTTTGAACCTGTGTCCCCTGCATTGCAAGGCAGATTCTTAACCACTGGACTACTAGGGAAGCCCTGTCTATGCTTTTTAAATGTTTATTTACTTACTTATTTTAAATTTAAAAAGGTATAGCACAAGAGATGGGACTAGGGAATTAGTGTTTAGTGGGTTAAGAACTTCAAATTGCAAAATGAAGAGCGTTCTGGAGATAAATGGAGGTGATGGTAGCACAATAATAGGAATGTGCTTAATGCCACTGAACTGTACTCCTTTTTTTTTTTTTTTTTTTTGGTATTTATTTATTTGGCTGTCCTGGGTCCTAGCTGTGGCACTCGATACTCTTCAGCTGCAGAATGTGAACTCAGTTGTGGCATGTGGGATCTAGTCCCTGAACTGTACACTTAGATACTAAATTTTATGTTATGTGTATTCATCACAATTTTTTTAACACAGTTTTTTCTACAATAGTAAAACATATTTATCAGTTTTCACAATCAATAGCTAGACAAAAATAAAAGATTATAATTGCAAGCCATATTGAGAATATGTTAACATAACAATATAAAATAATTACATACAATTTGGGGTGTCAAGCAGAGTGATGTAGTAAGTGGAAGTGCATACATGCACATGTTTTCAACCACCCAGCCAGTCTATGTCTCTTGGTTGGTACATTTAATCCATTTACATTTATTACTGATATGTATGATCCTATTACCATTTTCTTAGTTGTCTTGGGTTTATTTTCTGTAGATCTTTTCTAGTCTCTTGTGTCTCCTGCCTAGAGAAGTTTCTTTAGCATTTGTTGTAAAGCTGGTGTGGTGGTGCTGAATTCTCTTAACTGTTGCTTGTCTGGAAAGCTTTTGATTTCTCCATCAATCTGACTGAGAGTTTTGCTGGGTATAGTATTCTTGGCTGTAGGTTTTTCCCTTTCATCACTTTAAATTTATCATGCCATTCCCTTCTGGCTTGTAGAGTTTCTGTTGAGAAATCAACTGATGATAACCTGACGGGAGTTCCCATGTATGTTGTCATTTTTCCCTTGTTGCTTTTTTAAAAAATACATAACATTTATTTATTTGGCTGCCCCCGGGTCTTAGTTGCAGCACATGAGATCTTCAGTCTTCATTGCGGTATATGGGATCTTTAGTTGTGGTATGCAAACTCTTAGCTGTGGCATGTGGGATCTTTGTTTCCTGATCGCGGATCTAACCTGGGCCCTCTGCCTTGGGAGCAAGGGGTCCTAGACCCTGAACCACCAAGAAGTTCCTCCCTTGTTGCTTTTAATATTTTATCTTTGTCTTTAATTTTTTGTCAGTTTGATTACTATGTGCTTTAGTGTGTTCCTCCTTGGATTTATCCTGCCTGGGACTCTGTGCTTCCTAGACTTGGTTGACTATATCCTTTCCTATGTTAGGAAAGTTTTCAGCTATTATCTCTTCAAATATTTTCTCAGGTCTTTTCTCTCTTTCTTCTTTTTCTGGGACCCCTATAATACAATTGTTGGTGCATTTAATGTCGTCCCAGAGGTCTCTTAGGCTGTATTCTTCTTTTTTTTTTAATTCTCTTTTCTATATTCTATTCTGCAGCAGTGATTTCCACCATTCTATCCTCCAGGTCATTTATCTGTTCTTCTGCCTCAATTATTCTGCTATTGATTCTTTCTAGTGTATTATTCATCTCTGTTTCTTTGTTCTTTAGTTCTTCTAGGTCTTTAGTAAACATTTCTTGCACCTTCTCCATTATTTTCCCAAGATCCTGGATCATCTTCACTATCATTATTCTGAATTCTTTTTCTGAAAGGTTACCTAACTCCACTTAATTTAATTGTTTTTCTAGAGCTTTATCTTGTCCCTTCATCTGGGATGTAACTTTCTGTTTTTTCATCCTGGTTAACTTTCTGTAATGTGGTTTTTGTTCTAGCCAATTGTGGTTCTTCTAGTTTCTTTTGTCTGCCCTCTGATGGGCTAAGAGTTTTGTGTAAGCTTCCTTATGAGAGGGACTGAGTCTTGCTCTGGTGGGTAGGGCTGTGCTCAGTAAAGCTTTAATCCAATTATCTGCTGATTGGTGGGGTTGCACTCCCTCCCTGTTAGTTGTTTTGCCTAAGAGGACCTAGCCCTGGAGCCTATAGGCTCTATGATAGGGTTAATGGCAACCTCCAAGACAGCTTATATGAAGGGGGGCCTTCCAGGGGTGCTACTGCCAGTGCCCCCATCCCTGTGGTGAGCCCCTGCTGACCCATGCCTCCACTGGAGACCCTGCAATGCTAGCAAGTAGTTTTGGTTCAGTCTCCTGTGGGGTCACTACTCCTTTCCTCTGGGTCTTGGTGCCCACAAGATTTTGTTTGTGCCTTCCAAGACTGGAGTCTGTTTTGCCCAGTCCTGTGGAACACCTGTAATCAAATCCCACTGGCCTTCAAGGTCAGATTCCCTGAGGGTTTCCAGTCCCTTTGTCAGATCCCCAGGCTGGGAAGCCTGAGCTGGGGCTCAGAACCTTCACATTCACAACAGTGGGAGAACTTCTTTGGTATATTGTTCTCCAGTTTGTGGGTCACCCACAAGGCAGGTATGGGCTTTGATTTAGTCATGATTGTGCCCCTCCTACCCTCTCACTACAGCATCTTCTTTGTCTTTGGAAGCAGGGTATCTGTTTTTGATGGGTTCCAGTGTCTTCCTGTTGATGGTTGTTCAACAGATAATTGTAATTTTGGTGCTCTTGTGGGAGGAGATGAGTGCATATCCTTCTACTTCACCATCTTGAACTGGAAGCCCTCTTATCACAATTTTAAAAGTAAAAATACATACATACATACATAAAAGAAGTGCTCTGGATAAGAGCTGGTGGGGAAAAAAAAAGAAAGGAAAGGGGAACAGGTGTGGTAAAATGATACAGACAATGAAACTCAGTTTTTTTTTTTTAAAGTATAGAATGAAAGAAAGTTTCCTCATAATGCCACCCTCCAAAGAGGTAGCTTTGTTTGTTTGTTTGTTTGTTTATGGAATGTGATCCAGAGTTTCCTTGGGAAGAAGAACATATGAAGGTATATTCTCATTTCTTTCTCTTTTTTAATATAAAAGTAGCATACAATACCCACTGTTCTGAACTGTGCTCTTTTCGTCTTAATATATCTTAGAGGAAATTCCCTGATGGTCCAGCAGTCAGGACTCCTTGCTTCCACTGCAGGGGGCCCGAGTTACATCCCTGGTCGAGAAACCAAGATCCCAAAAGCCACTCAGCCTGGCAAAAAAAAAAACAAAACCAACTCCCAACCAACCAACCAAACAAAAAGTCATTCTGGGGATCATTCTCAAGTGGTGCATAAACTCTATCCTTGATCTTCTTTTTTTTAATGTACTGTTTTGTTTTCATTGACTTAAAATATACGTAACATGAACTTGACCACGTTAACCATTCTTTAATGGGTCTTCGCTGCTGTGAGGCCTTTTCTCTGGTTGCAGCGAGCACGGCTTCTCATTACAGTAGCTTCTCTTATCGCAGCTCCCGGGCTTTAGGGCACAGGCTCAACAGATGCGGCACACTGGCTTAGTTTCTCCGAGGCATGCGGGATCTTCCTAGATCAAGGATTGAACCCGTGTCCCCTGCTTTGGCAGGCAGATTCTTTACCACTGAGCCACTGGGACAGCCCGGTGAACTGTTTTTTAAATGTATGTTGCGACTGCATTAAGAACATTCACAATGTTGTGCAGCCATCACTAAGACCCATTTCCAGACTGCTTTCATGGTTCCAAGTGAAACTCTGTACCCATTTAACACCCTTATTCTCCCTCTGCAGCCCCGAGTAACCTCTATTTGACTTCCTTGGCCTATTCTAGGTACCTCACGTAAGAGGAATCATGCAATATTTGTCTTTTTGTGTCTGGTTTACTTCACTTAGCAGAATGTTTTGAGGTTCATTGATGTATCAGAACTTCACTCCTTTTTAAGACTGAGTAATTTACGTTTGCATGCTATGTACTAGGTTTTGCTTATCTGTATATCAATGATGGACAGTTGAGTTGTTTCTACCTTTTGGCTACTATGAATAGTGCTTACTCCTTCCTTTATACAGCTGTATGTTACTCCACTGTAGGGTACCTCAGTTTGATTGCCCCACTGAGGCGCCATTGCCTACATTCAACAGTCTTCTGCTGCCTCAAGCAGCACTGCAACAAATGACTTGTGTGAGAGTCATCTTGCTGGTAGGAAGACAGACCTGTCCTGGCTTCCACAGTGATGAAGGGAAGAAGAGGAGCAATGTGAGATGTGCCCCCTTTTCACCGCCCTTCCCTAAACACAGCTTCCTCTGGCTTCCTGCAGGCTGTGAATGCTGCCAAATACGGGGTGGCTGGAGTGCTAGTGTACACGGACCCCAAAGACATCAACGACGGGAAGAGCTTGCCGAACGAGACCTTCCCACACTCCTGGTGCCTGCCTCCCTCGGGCGTGGAGCGAGGCTCCTACTTCGAGTATTTTGGGGATCCCTTGACTCCTTACCTTCCAGCTACGCCTTCCTCCTTCCGCCTAAACTCTGACAATGCCTCTGGATTTCCCCCAATTCCCATTCAACCCATTGGCTTCGAGGACGCACAAGTCCTTCTCTGGTGAGCTTGTGCCCTGGGGTCTCCTGCCCACTCTCCAGTGGTGGCCCCCTGACTTCAACCCCCACGTCCATATTTGCTCTGAAGGGCCTCCCCCTCCTCCCCAGTAACCTCGGAGGAAAGTTAGCACCGGCTGACTGGCAGGGAGGACTGGGCTGTGACTACAATTTGGGGCCAGGCTTCCGGTCGAATGGTATCTTCCCAGAAGACGGGTAAGATAGAGCCCCCTCCTCCCCCAACTCTCCCCTTCTCTTCCCTTGTTATGCTTTCTTTTTTTAAAAAAAAATTATGTATTAATTTGTTTATTTTTGGCCGTGCTGGGTCTTCGCTGATGCACGTAGGCTTTCTCTCACTGCGGCAATCAGGGGCTGCTCTCCAGTTGTGGCGGGCCGGCTTCTCATTGTGGTGGCTTCTCTTGTTGCCAAGCACAGGCTTTCAGGCATGTGGGCTTTAGTAGATGTGGGCTCAGTAGTTGTGGCTCACAGATTCAGCTGCTCCACGGCACATGGCATCTTCCTGGACCAGGGATCAAATCGGTCTCCCTTGCATTGCAAAGAGGATTTTTGACCACTGGACCACCAGGGAAGTCGGTTATGCTTCCCTGACCCTGGGTTTCCTCTGCTCACTTCGAGGCCTGGCCTTTCCCTTTCTCCTCTCTCCCAACCGCTCCTTGATTCCAAAATACCTGTCTTGTCCTGGGGAAGCCTGTGAATTAGTTGTGTGCCCGAAAAGTCTCTGTGGAGTCCCCCGACCTCACCTTGGACCTCCGTTCTCCAGCCACCCCCTCTTTGGAAAATACCAAGCTCCTTCCCAAATCAGGACTTGCTGTTCCGGCTGATGGAACACCCTTCCCCAGGCTCTGCCATTCCTGGCCTGCCCTAACAGCCCACCTGCCACCAGGCACCTTGTCAGTGTCCCCCCAAGCTCCTTCACTGCCTGCAGTTGCTCACTTCCTTGGGGTCTGGATGCTCCAGGAGAAGGAGATCCCACGAGGGTGGGGTCCACATCTGTCTCAGCCATTGCCCAGAGCTGGTACGATGCTGACATACACTGAGTATCCAGTAACCGAGTGAGTACGAAGGAGAATTGGAGTCAGAAGAGCTGGGCTCTAGCCTCGCTGTCTCTCCTGGTATTTCCAAGCAGGTGACTTTGCCAGGTTCCTTTCTGACTCTGGGCCTCAGGTTTTCCTGCATTTTGGAGGGGGCAGTGAGTGGTGCCAAGACTCCTGTCCCCCTCCAGCCAGGTGAACGTGAGTGTCCACAACCGCCTGGAGCTGCGGAACTCCTCCAATGTCCTGGGGATCATCCGCGGGGCTGTGGAGCCAGGTGAGTGCCTCCTCACGGCTCCCCGCGCCCCCAGGACCCCGCCCAACCCTGGGCGCCGCTGACCACGCCCCCTCGGCCCCGCCTGGCTGCCCCGCCCACCGTTGCACCTCTGAGGTTTCTGACTCTGCTCCTCCTGCCAGATCGCTACGTGCTATATGGAAACCACCGGGACAGCTGGGTTCACGGGGCCGTAGACCCCAGCACTGGTACTGCAGTCCTTCTGGAGCTCTCCCGAGTCCTGGGGACTCTGCTGAAGAAGGGTGAGCGGGCCGCCCTGCCCCGGTCCAGGGACTCGCTCCCCAAGAGGGCACCTAAAGCCAGTCCTCCCTGAATTTTGGACGCTGACACCCCCTCCACTCCCGCATTCGCCTGTGCCCACTTGTGCCAGGCCTAAGGGCCCTGGGGGCAGACATGCATGACACTAGCCCTGGCCTCGCTCAAGCAGCCCAGTGTGGTACAGGGAACTCTTGCAAAACCTTCTGAGGGTCTTCTGCACCCCTCCAGTGAAGTGAAATCAGGTGTGGTCGCGAGCAAGGCCGTGCCCAGGCTCTGCCCTCGAGGGGTCTCAGCTTGGTTGAGGCAGGGAGACAGTCGTTGACTCCACAAACACTTCAGCCATGCCTACTGTGTGCCAGGCCAGCTCTAGGCACTGGATGTCCCCCAGAGAACCCCAGAATTCTGACTGTAATGACAACTGTGAAACGTCCTATTAGGGAAAATATCTACCGGGCTTTCCAGGTGGAAGCCAGTGCTCAGGGAGGTGGCAGTTCCAGGTGGGCATGGGGATCCAGGTGGAAAAGAATGGCTGGACCAGGTGGCAGAGCTGTGTATTTCCTAAAAATAGGGACATTTTCTTTCATAACCACGCTACAATGATCAGAATCAGAAAATTAAAAAATTTTCCAATTGTCCCAATAAGTTTCAAAAATTATTTGTTTATATTTTGGCTGCTCTGGGTCTTCACTGTCCCTCAAGGGCTTTCTCTGGTTGCAACGTGCAGGCTTCTCTTGTTGTGCAGCACAGGGCTTAGTTACAGCGAGGCATGTGAGATCTTAGTTCCCCGGCCAGAGATCAAACTTGTGTCCCCTGGAAGATGGATTCTTAACCACTGGACCACCAGGGAAGTCCCTCCGATAACATTTAGAGCAAAAGAATATTCTGGTCCAAGAGTCAATCCAGGAGCACAGGTTGCATGTAGTAATTGCATGGGTCATCTGTAATTGTTTCTTAGCTGCTCTTTCTTTCCTGATCCTGATATTTAGTTTGTTGACTGTCCCTCAATTTCAGTTTGTCAGATTAGATTCAGCTTATGCATTTTGGGCAGAAAAAAGTGTGGGAACTTTCCATTGCAAGCATGTAATCATTTTATACTTAAAATTGTTTTGATTTAAAACAAAAAGATGAGAAATGATCAAAGGGGACTGAGTCGCAGCCAGAGACGGGAGTACAGCCCAGAGCACACAGTGCCATGGAGGGTGAGGGGAGTCTGAAGGAGCTGAGGGGCAAGCAAGGACTCCGAGGCTTCCAGGAGGGGACTGAGGACTGTGGCCAGAGCAGTGAGGGCGTGAGACTGGAGATGGGAGCCAGCTTGCAGGAGGCTATGAGAGCGATGTGGGGCATTGGTTAAGCCCCTGGACTCTGGAGCCAGACCCTGCATTTGAACTCTGGCTCTGCTGCCTACCAGCTGTGTAACCCTGGGCAAGTCATTAAACCTCTCTGTGGCTCCATTTCATTAATGGAGACAATGAGAGTCTGTCTCTCAAGACCTTCTTGTGAGGACTGGCTCAATATGGGTAATGCTCTAAGGCCACTGTGAGTGTTTCACCACTAAATGAGTAGGAGTAGGGGCCAGTTTTGCGAAGATGCCAGCGAGAGAGTTAGGGGATCTCCAATCATCACATCCAGAGAGAAGAGAGGGGCAGGGCATTCTGGCAGAACGGACCGACGCACTGAAGGAGATTGGTGTGTGTGTGCGGGGGCAAAGTTGGGGGTGTCACAGCAGAGGAGAGGCCTTGGCAAAAAGAGGGTGGAGCCTCAATGAAGGTTTGGCCCAGGAGGTGCCAAGACCTACCTCCAATCGCCAGCTGCCCTGTGGGTTCCAGCCCTCCCTCCCCTCCACATGCCCAACCTTCCCCCTAAGCCACCCCGAGATCTGGGGGATCTTGCCCTCCAGCACTTTATCCCCCTCCCCAGGCACCTGGCGTCCCCGCAGATCAATCGTGTTTGCGAGCTGGGGGGCAGAGGAGTTTGGGCTCATCGGCTCCACAGAATTCACGGAGGTGAGTGAGCCCCGCAGCCGGGCGCTCGAGGGTATTCCCGGGGCGGGCCGCGCGAAGCTGACGTGGTCGCGTCTACCTGCAGGAGTTCTTCAGCAAGCTGCAGGAGCGTGCCGTGGCCTACATCAACGTGGACATCTCGGTGTTTGGTACGAGGGGCGGCGGGGCTGACTCGGGGAGCGGGGACACAAAAGGGTGGGGCCCGAGTAGAGTCTTCCTTGTATCCCCTCACAGCCAATGCCACCCTGAGGGTGCAGGGCACGCCCCCGATCCAAAGCGTCGTCTTCTCCGCTGCCAAACAGGTGGAAAGGGAAGGGGCTGGGAGTGGGGCGGGAGGAGGCGTGTCGGGGGCGGGGCTACACGGGGTAGGCGGAGCTGATACTTCGGAGAGGGGCTGAGGGTGGGACTGAGGCTGCGGGGAGGGCCTTGTAGGACCTGCAGGATTCTGCAAGGGCTGGAGACCGTGGTGGGTGGCGCGGAGGACCTGCCTGGTTGTCGGACCTGGGGTGGGGCCAGCCGCAGACTAGATTCCCCTCTACTCAGATCTCCGCACCGGGCTCCAGCGGTCTCAGCATCTATGATAATTGGATCCGATATTACAACCGTAGCAGCTCCGTGTACGGCCTGGTCCCCAGGTGAGCCCAGAGCCGGGATGGGGACCCCTGGACCTCAGGGGACCCCTGGACCCCAGGCTCAGCGCCCTGCAGCCTAACCATATTCCTTCCCATAGTGTGGGGACTCTGGGCGCTGGCAGCGACTATGCCCCCTTCATTCACTTCCTGGGCATCTCCTCCATGGACATCGCCTACACCTATGACCGGGTAAGTGGGCACCCCTTAGTCCCCAGCCCGGGACTTTGCTCCACTAGCCCCCTCCTCTCCCTCAGGCTGCTCCTGTGCAACTGAATCCATCACTCAGTAGTTGTGCTACCTCAACCAAGTTTCTTTACCTCTCTTGAGCATGTTCATCCTCATCTATGTTATTTTACCAAATTTAAGACACCAGTGAGTATAAGATGCACTGTTGTGATATGCATTATTTTGGGGGGGGGAATACACGGTCAGTTGATTGCAGGGTGACATTGACTGTAAGAAGCATCCTAATTTCAGAGATCTTAAAATGTGAAAAAACGTTTGTCTCAGAATAGATTAAAAAACAGTATAAAACAGGTGATTTGAGGGTAAAATGAGGTAAGGGCTGCAGAGTGCCAGCCTGTCTCCCTGTTTGATGCTCCAAAATACCCTTTCTCCCCTCCATGGCCACTCCGCTCCTGAGTGGTGGAGCTGGGATTTGAATCCTCCTGACTGCAAAGCCTCAGGTTCTTCTCCTTCATGTGAAATGGGAAACTGGCACCTGACCCAGCTCTGCCACTTAGTAGTTGTGTGATGTCAGGAAGGCTACTTAACCTCTCTGAGCCCATTTCTTCCTCTGTAAAGTGGGAGCCCTAGAACCTGCCTCACAGGTGTGGTGACAACTGACTTGAGCTAATGGCTCTACATTGAACTCCTCCTTCCACTTCTCATCCCAAGCTTGTCACCCGTGGGTCTTGTTTCCTCAGAGCAAGACCTCAGCCCGGATCTACCCCACCTACCACACAGCCTTTGACACATTTGATTACGTGGACAAATTTTTGGACCCTGGTGAGGAAGGGGGCAAGGGATCTCCTGCGGCGGGAGGAGGCGGGGCTGAAGGCTGAGCCCGGCCTCGTCGCCCTCCCTGCCAGGTTTCAGCAGCCATCAGGCCGTGGCCCGGACCGCGGGAAGCGTGCTTCTCCGGCTCAGTGACAGCCTCTTCCTGCCTCTTAACGTCAGTGACTACAGTGAGACCCTCCGCAGCTTCCTGCAGGCTGCCGAGAACCTCCGGGCCCTATTGGAGCAGCATAACATCAGCTTCGGTACGGAGACCCCGATATCAAGGCAAAGGGAGCCTTGCGCCCCCAGGGCTAAGATGCTGGCTGTTCTCCCACAGGACCCTTGGTGACCGCAGTGGAGACGTTTGAGGGGGCAGCCACGTCATTCAACCAACGCATAGCAACACTGCGGGAGGGCACCCCCGAGTAAGCAAGGGTTGCAAGCAGGTGTCTGGGAGGGCAGCATCCAGGGCAGGATGCAGGCTGGCAGCTGGGCTGCTGGCTGTAGGGTGACCAGAGGGTCCTGTCACCCTCAGTCCTCTGCAGGTGCGGATGATCAATGACCAGCTGATGCTCTTGGAACGGACTTTCCTGAACTCACAAGCCTTCCCAGAAGAACGCTACTACAGGTGAGCCTGTCCAAAGCTCTTGGGAGGTGTGGTGAAATGAGGCTGGGCAGTGGGTACCCACCCGAAGGAGCAGAATGTCACTTTTGCTGGCCTTTAGAGCACCACCCAGTCCCTTGAGATGGCTGGGGAGTCAGGCTCAAAGAGTGGGGGAGGCAAATCAGTTAAGGTCACCCTGGGACTAGAGCCTACATCTCCTCCCACTACCAGAAGAGAGGTGCTTTTGTCCCTAGCTGTATACAGGAGCTGTTGCAGGCTGAAGCTCTGCTCATTCTTGGCCCCTGCATGACCTTGTCCCTCCCCCATTTCTCCCTTCAGCCATGTGCTCTGGGCACCCCGCACCGGCTCTGTGGCCACATTCCCCGGCCTGTCCAATGCCTATTCCCAGGCCGAGAACACAGGCCATGAACCTGCAGCCTGGGCTGAGGTGCAGAGACAGCTCAGCATCGTGGTGGCAGCCCTGGAGGGCGCAGCAGCCACCCTGAGGCCCGTGGCTGACCTCTGACCCCACCCTCATTCTTCAGCTCCCACCCCCACTCTATCCTACCCTCTCCCCCTCCAGTTTTGAGTGTGTCCCCATCTCCCTTCATGCTAGCAAAGGGCACGACCACAGGACCCTCTCTAACTTCTGAGGGGTCCCACCAGTGTGGACACTTGAAGGGAGTGACAAGCCCCAGATGAAAATTTCCCTCTTGCTGCATCTTGGTTGGCAGAGGGTGAACAGGAGACAGGGATGAGGGGAATGGCAAAACCACCAGCTACTCTTGGTAGCAGATGGGTGAAGATGGGATGCATAATGCCAACCTTAGATGTCAACTCAGAGACCACCAGAGCCACCCCCCAGTGATCAGCAAGGAAACTAAGGCCCAGGGTGGACAGGGAATGGTCCAGTTTGGGTTTCTCTTCCCCTACGCCCCTAGCACATCTCAACTCCTCCCTGCCCTCCCCAAATAAATCAAGCCAAGCTGTTGTTCCTTATATAGTGTGGGAATCATGAAAAAGGAAACCTGAGTGCTTCAGCCCCAGTCTTGGGTCTCTGGGAGACCACACAGTCCTCTTCATACCTCGGTCGTGGGTCTGTCCACAGCCTCATCTTCCTCCTCTGCCATGACCACGTCTTCCAGAGTGCGCCCTCCAAGTTTGTTCCCCACCAGTACCTGGCAGGTCCCAGCAGGTGGCAGCCCCTCCTCAGTGTAACGACCCCTCAGGAACACCACTCTCTCCTGTCCGTCTAAGGGTAGTCCGTGGGCCTGGCACAGGTCCCGTGCCTCCTTGGGCCCATCCAGGGCCAGCAGGTGGATCACGAAGCCCAGCGGCAAGGTCTGGCCCTTGGAGGTGCTGAGGGCACGAGCAAGGCGGGCCAGGGCTCCCCGGCGTGCATGGCCCACGTGGCACTGCACAGCGCAGCTCTGAAGGTAGGGCAGTGTCCGGAGCAGGCGAAAGAGGCGGGCGGCATTGCCTTCCCGGAAGGCGGAGTCAACTGCCAGGGCGGTGCGCAGGGCCGGGCAGGAACGCAGGGCTGCAGGCAGCTGCAGAACCTCGTGAAGGGCCTCTACCGAGCCTGGAAGTGTGAGAAGCCCGCATGAGGGTGTTGAGTACGGGAGCAGGCCCACCTTCTGTGCCATCCCCTTTCAGTGCAGTGGTGTCTTACTCTTGGCAGCCCCATGGACTGTAGCCTGCCAGGCTCCTCTGTCCATGGGACTCTCGAGGCAAGAATACTGGAGTGGGTTGCCATGCTCTCCTCCAGGGGATCTTTTCAACCCAGGAATTGAACCCCTGTCTCTTACATCTCTTGCTTTGGCAGGCGGGTTCTTTACCACTGGTGCCACCTGGGAAGTCCATCCCCTTAGGTTTCCCCCATCCCCCTCCCACCTTCATGAATCTTCAGCCACCTCCTCTGACCCTCCCCCCCAACTCACTCCTCCCCCACCTGCTCCTGCTATGGCCACGCCCCATCCCAAGCCAAGCCCACCCTCCCTACCCCTTAGCCCCTTCTTGATCATTATCAGAATTTGTTGCCAGTGATTCCAGAATCCCATCAAACAGCCTGAGTCCTCATAATAAAGTGAGGCAGTGTTTACAGGTGAAGGAAAGAGGCTGTGATCATTTAATGACTTGCCTGACTGTCTTAGAGCTCATATATATTTAAGAAGGTGACCCAATCAAATCCAAGTTTTCTGACTTGAAGCCCAGCCCTTTCTCCAGCCCTAGCTGCCCCAAGGTTTGGGAGTTGGCTCTGCCACACCTTCTTCTGTCTACCTGGTAAGCCAGTTTCTTTTTCAAATTCTGCTTCTCCCCTTTTGAGGAGAATGACAACACTGGGACCTTGGGTAAACTGAAGCTTCTGACCCATTTGCTGTTCAGTCACTAAGTTGTGTCTGACTGTTTGTGACCTGGAGGACTACAGCACACCAGGCTCCTCTGTCCTCCACTATCTCCTAGAGTTTGCTCAAATTCATGTCCATTGAGTCTGTGATGCTATCTAACCATCTCATCCTCTACTGCCCCCTTCTCCTTCTGCCTTCAGTCTTTCCCAGCATCAGGGTCTTTTCCAATGAGTTGGCTCTTCACATCAGAAATATTGGCCAAAATATTGGAGCTTCAGCTTCAGCATCAGCATCAGTCCTTTCAGTGAATATTCAGTTGATCTCCTTTAGAATTGACTGACCCATTAGTGGGTCATTAAGTCAACAGCATTTCATTAAATTAAGTAGAATTAATTAAAAAGCATCATCCAAAAAAAAAAAACCATCATCCATCCATAGGAAAAAAATCTAGCCTTGAACCTTCTATCTCATAGATATTTGTTGGCATATGTGTTCTTGGTTGTTTTGCAATACTGACTGAAATGGAGGTTTAAAAGAAAAAGCTTGAAAATCACTATCTAGGTTCAACTGTCCCATTCCAATGCTATCCCCTCCACTTTCATAATGAGAAAGCCGAGACCCAGAGAAGGGAAGGGACGGGTCAGAAGGTTCATGTAGGGGCTCAGTGAATCTTGTGCAATGGCTAAGACACACATTTAGGAGACATTTAGGATGGAGAGGGAGCTACTAGTGAGGTTTGAAAGCTTCTCCTTCCTTTCTCGGCCTTCACTGTCCCGGTCTCTGCTCTGCCGCGGGGACCCTGACTCACCCAGGTTATACAGCAGAAAGAGGCCCTGGAAGGTGGCTTGGCGCGGGTGGGGACCAGCGCCCAGCGCGTAGCAGCGGCGCAGAGAACCGAAGCTCTCCTGGATCTGGGCTTGCAGCAACATTGGGTCCACTGGCCCGTGCGTCGCGTTGGGTCTGAACCGCGCCACCACGGCCAGCAGCACGGCCAGAGCCGCTTCCAGCACCAACGCCGTCTCGACGTCACTCGCGCTTTGCAGGGCCAAGTCCAGCCGCACCGCGCGCAACCTGTCCGCCACGAAGCTGGCCACCTCCGCGCAGGACGCGTCGGTGCGCTCGGCCACCTCGCTGGCCAGGTAGCGCACGGTGGCCAGCAGCACGGACGGCGGACGCAGCTGATTCGGCGGGGGCCGGATCTTCCCGGCGGCCGGCCGGCTGTACTCCTTCACCGCGCGCTGTGGGTCGGCTCGGGGCCGGTCCCCGCGGCATCCCGGCACCACCTCGAATCGGTGCAGGCGGCGCTCCTCTTCGCGCTGGGCGCGCTCGGCAGCCGGACACATGTCCAGGCACGTGCCCACGGGCAGCTCGTAGCCGGGCATAGGTGGGCTGGGGGGGGAAGGACGGGCGCTCAGCATTCAGTGGACAGCGGCGGCCCATCGCCCCATTCTGCGGGACAGCACTTCAAGGCTGGCGAAGGCGGGGCCAACCCCGTCCGGCCCGCCTCCCCGCTCTCGTCTGAGCCTTCCCCCCGCCCGCCTGGCCACCGCCGTCCTCACCGAGTCCTGCCGCCTCCCACAGACCTCCGTGCAGGCCTCCCGAGACCCTCTGCGTTGTAGTTCAGCGTTGCCAACAGTTCCTCACGCTCGAGTCCCGCTGTAGCCCAACCACAGTGCACCGCTGTAGTCGGATCACTCCCATGATGCACCACTTTACAGTTCCCTTTCTCAACCAATCGCTTTGCAGGAGAGGCTGGGCAGGCGTGGAGCCACGCCTTCCCGGGCTCCCGCCCTCTAATCTCAACACCTTTTAGCTTTGAACCACCCGACCCAAGTGGGGACACCAGCTTTGGTTCCTCTTCACCCGATAACCTGACTCAGTCGGCTTTACTGCCATTCTTTTCTGTTTCCTTGAGGTATCTTCTCCCTGTTTTCTAGATCAGGGGTCAGCAAACTTTTTCTACAAAGAGCCAAAATAGTAGATATTCTTGGATTTACAGGTCACAGCCCAATCACTCAGCCTTGCTGGTGTAGTGAGAAAGCAACGGTCGACAACAGTTAAATGAAAAAGTCTGGTTGTGTTCCAATAAACTTTTATTTTTTAGACACTTAAATTTCATTATAATTTTCACCTGTCACAGAATATTATTATTTTGGATTTTTTCAACTATTAAAAAAAAGTAAAAACTCTTCTAGTTCATGGGCCTTATAAAAAAAAAAGGCAGTGGGGCATATCCAGCTGTGGGCAGTAGTTTGCAGACCCCGGTTCTAGATGGATAAACAGATGGTTTACGGACCAGAGCTGCAGCCTCCCATATCAAGATAGAGACAGGCAGGCTCAGACATGTGAGTCCCTGATTCCAAGGTGGCAGGTGTGGTCAGGGAGCTGAGAATTCATTATTTTTCTCATTCCTGGTCCAGTTACATACAGAAATGGCCAGTTATAGGACCAGGTGATCAGGCACCAGGGAGAGAAGAGGGTGGCTGGCAGTGCTGGAGCCAGAGTCCTGGGAATGGGTCCACTCCCATCTCGGAGTGGGAGTTAGGGCAGATGCAGGTGCAGGATTTCCTCTGCCCGCTTCAGGTACTCGGCCGCCTTCTTCTTCACACCCTCTCGGCGGGCAGGTGATGGGTCACCTGGGAAGACAGAATGGCTCATCGGATTCTGGTACCTGGATTCAGAACCCCTGGTCTAGCTCCTTACTGTCCACAGAGCATCACCATGTGTCTTTCCCTGTTCCTTGGGAGTCAGATATATGCTCCCCATTTTACAAATAAGAAAACTGAGGCCACAGAGATAAAGCAGCAGCCCAAGGTTACACAATTGGTCAGTGAAGAGCAATTCTGATCCTTGTTTTTCATTTCCTTTCCCTTCACTGCACCATCCAGGATCCCAGGCCTGACCCTCCAGCATCCAGTCTTGCTCACCAGGAACTCCCTGGAGCAGGATGTGCACGCCATCCCGGTAGCCCTGCAAAGCGGCAGGGTAGGCACCTGCCTTCTCGTCCCGTAGGGCCTGGGTGATGAGTTTTGTGGCTTGGCTCAGATAGGCAGGGGCGGGATCTCCTTCCTCGTCGTCTTCCTCTGCTTGTCCACCTGGCTCCCAGGGTTCCTGGTCCAGTCTTCCAGATTCTGCCTCCAACGCTGCCAGCTCCCCTATGTGGGTAGGACTGGGTCCTGCACCTTCTGTAATCAGATATGGAGGACTCAGATCAGACTGGCCCTCCTGGGCCAGTTTTCCTGGGCCTGCTGCCCAACCCCAGACCTCTCTGGCACACCAACCTGTCCTGGGTTTCTCAGTGCCTGAGCAATCCAAAAGCCACTTGTGCATAGCACACTAGCCATGATCTATTTGGTTGGTATTGTTTGTGTGCTTTTGTAAAAATAGTCTTACTTCCCTAATTCTTTGTTTATAGTGAGATATAGTTGATTTACGATATTATATGAGTTTCATATGTACAACATAGCCTAATACTTTCTTTGTGTGCATGCATGCTCAGTTGCGTCTGACACTTTTGAGACCCCATGGACTATAGCCCGCCAGGCTCCTCTGTCCATGAGATTTTCCAGGCAAGAATACTGAAGTGGGTTGCTATTTCCTACTCCAGGGGATCTTCCCAACCCAGAGATCAAATCCAGGTGTCCTGTGTCTCCTGCATTGCAGGTGAGTCATCATTAACATTAATTTGAAGCTCTGGGTCACTGGTTCTACTTCCCTCCTGACTACAACAAATTCCAGAATTTCCTCCACAAAGTTTAATTGAAGGATGCTAGGTCAAGCATGCCAGGTCAAGGGTAGAAATGCTCCAAGCTTTGGAATCTTAGAATGATGGATCCAGAGAACCTCCAGGCTTTTTAAAGTCTTTCAATTTCAGCTGAGGCCCCAAATGGGAAGAAGTGGGTGGAAGGTATTCACACATTCCAGACAGAAGGGCTCATATATCCTCTAGGACTGGCAAGGAGATGGTCAAAGATTCCCTCTGTAGATTCCACAAAAGAAGGCTAGCAATCTGGTGAACCTTGGATGAAAAGGTCTTTAAAGGGAAGGTGTAGGACTAGGAACCACCACTGCACACCACTGGCCTGGAGAGGGAAGGGTGGGCCTCTCTAGACGCCCACCAGAGGGACCCCATGTGGAGACCAGGGGCCTTACAGGGAGGTAAGGTGACATTTCACTTTCCAGTTGGACTACAGCCCTTCCTGTGTTGCTCATGAAGCAGAAGACAGAAGGGATCTTGGGACACCCTAGTACTTGAGTTCAAGAGCCTGGTGTATGTGATGAAGAGAGATGAGCGCCAGCTCCTCACCTGGAGAATTCTGATGGTAAAAGGTTGGCTAGATGACCCTACAAAGTGGGGCAAGGACAGGAGGCAGCATCTGAGCAAACTGCCCTTCCAGCTTGGTAGGGGCGAGGATTTAGGAGTTCTTCCATGGATCGAGGGAACATCTTATGGGAGCTGCCTTTGAGGAGTTTTGCCAGGCTCTTGCCCAAGCACTTGGGCACTGGGTACCCCAGGAGGCTTGGCTGGGGCCAGGCAGAGTGCCTGGATCCTGCCTCTCTGTAGCCAGGTTCATCAGCCACGGTGACATCGCCCCTGCCTTTCTCCTCCAAAGGACATTCCTCACACCCTGGTTACCATGGCCAGGGGCCCAGCCACCAATCAGGCCTGAGTTGCGGGGGGAGGTACAGGGTAAGGCTGAAAACTGGAGAAAGACTCGAGGTCCTGATTTGGATCGGACCGCAAAGTGAGAGAACTCAAGTGCCTGAAACGATCAGAAAGCTAAGGGTCTGCCCAAGAGGTCACCAAAGGGTAAAGAAGGGAAGCCAACAAAACAGGCTGAAAAAGACAACTGAGGAAGCCAAAATGAAACTGTCATGATGACCCGAAGTGCAATCGACCACTTCAACACCCCAGCTGCAGTAACAGCATAAACTCAGAGAATTTTAAAATGAAAAGATCCTGAGTCACAGAGCCAGGGATTGTCAAGCTCCTGATCTGACAAGGAGCTCAGGACCAGGGCCTCCATGGGGTGGGGGTGGGGGGGCTTCCACGTCTGGTGCCCTCACACACCAGAGGCTACCCCAGGGGCTTCCTCTGCTGTCCTTGGAGCCCAGACCTCACTGCCCTTCACCAACAGGATCTATAACCTTCAGGATCTACAGCCAGACCCTGAGCCATCCAGGAAACCTCCACCTCGGGCTTCGAGCGAAAGAAGTCAGATCCTCTCAGGGCAGTGTGACACCCTGCTGGTTCCAAAGCATTCTCAGGGAGGGGATCCACAGTGGGAAGTGGCTCACTTCCTCGACAGTTGCTCACTGTGCTGGGGTACCCAGCTGGCCAGGGCAGCAACAGCACCTGGGAAGGGACGGTTCAGTTCAATTCAGTTCAGTTGCTCAGTGGTGTCCGACTCTTTGCGACCCCATAGACTGCAGCATGCCAGGCTTCCCTATCCATCACCAACTCCCGGAGCTTACTCAAACTCATGTCCATCGCATCGGTGATGCCATCCAACCGTCTCATCCTCTGTCGTCCCCTTCTCCTCCTGCCTTCAATCCTTCCCAGCATCAGGGTCTTTTCCAATGAGTCAGTTCTTTGCATCAGGTGGCCAAAGTATTGGAGTTTCAGTTTCAGCATCAGTCCTTCCAATGAATATTCAGGACTGATTTCCTTTAAGATTGACTGGATGGATCTCCTTGCAGTCCAAGGGACTCTCAAGAGTCTTCTCCAACACCTTCCTTGGGAAGGGGCACTGCTTCTAATTCTCATCAAAGCTGCCTTTCGCCCACAGTGGGGCGCCTTTCTCTGATTTACACAGGCAAGGTGCAGCTGGTGGCTCTGCCTGCCTCTGCCTCCCTACAGGTAAGGACCTCCTGCCCAGCTCCATCCCCTCACCCTACCCCCACTGGACTTGTCCCAACTTGTTACCTTCCTTGGAGAAGGGGTCAAATAGGGCAAGCTCAGCCTCGGTGAGGGGGCCTCGGGCAGGGGAACTGGATGCCTCCTCGGTGCTCCCACAATTAAAGAGGAGATCCAAGGCCTCCTGAGCAGGGCTGGATGGTGGCGGGTCTGCTGAGGAATAGATCAGTGGGGTCATTCACGTCTGCTTTTATTATTATTTCCCAGCTTTCAAAATGTCATTACCCGCTCACTGAAGCCTTGCAGCAACCATGGGCATAGACAAATCCATTCTTAAGGTTTGTGCCCATTTTACAGATTAGCAAACTATAGCTCTGAAAAGGAAAATGACCTGTGCAGAGTTCCTCAGCAGGATGGCGGCAGAGGAGTCCAGAACGGCTTTTCACTGAGGAGGGAGTGGTTCCCACTCCCCAAACATACAGGCTCTGGACCCTCTAGCCCTGGCTCACTCTCCCGCCCCACATACCTGGCACCTCCAACTCCTCAAGGCCCCTTCTCTCTGCAGGAAGCGGCTGGGGCAACCAAGTCTCATGCGGCTGGGCCCGGGGCTCGTCAGGCGGTGGTGTGGGAATCAGGGGCGGGGGAAGGATGTGCAGGTCTCTGGACACCTCAGAGGGCCGTGTCACCTCCCCACCCTGCACAAGAGAAAGACCAGCCGTGTGGGCAGGTAAGCTTCCCAGGTGCTGAGGACCGGGGAAGAGCAGGTGCACATACCCGGAAGAACTCCTTGAGCTGGGGGCTGTTGTTGAGCGCGGGAATGTGCACAGTGAAGCGAAGCAAGTCCTCGGCCCCCTTTCGCCGCTCCTCAATCACCGAGGCTTCAAACCGGCCTGCGCCCACCAGGACAAGCGACAAGGAGACAACAGTGACCCACGGGGACTTCTGGCCTCCAGGCCACTTTTCCTGGTCCTGCCTGAGAGGATCTGAGCAGCCCACTGGCCCCCACCCCATTCTCTCAGAAATCTTCCTTGGCTCTGCCTGGGGTGAGGGTCTCGCAAGGAGCGACCTATCTCCCTATTCATCCATTTACCGGATGAGTATTGAGCACCTACTATGTTGTTGGTTCAGGAGGGGAATGAGAGTGAAGTGAGGTCTCTGCCCTCATGGTTATTACATCCTAGACAGGGGGAAGCAGGCAACCAACAAGAAACAAATAATTTCAGATGGTTTCGATGTATTAGGGAGGAAAGGAAGACTCAGAGAGGGGAAGTGACTTGCCCAAGGTCACAAAGAAAGTAGCCCCATGTTTACAGCTTCTCTGTTCTGTTCCAGGCATCGTGTAGAGTTATTTAACTCTGCGCTATTTATTGTGCTGCCAGGGGGAGTTATCCCACTGCCTGGCATAATTTGCTAGCGAGGACCTTTCACCTTGCTACAAAAGAACATCTCCTGTGAGTCCAGAGACACAAGTAACAGACCAGCCCTGTCTAGGAGAAATATAATATATGAGCCTCATACGTAATTTACAATTTTCTAGGAGCTGCATTTAAAAAAAAATAAAAAGAAACAGATTAAATTTTAATTATATATTCTCTTTAACCCAGTATATCCAAAATAGTCTCATTTGAACATATAATCAATGTATCAACTACTGAGATAGTTTACATTGATTTTTCAGTGTATTCGACCTGTGCAACACATCTCAGTCCAGACGAGCCGCACTTCTGGTGCCCCTCAGCCACAGGTGGTTCATGGCTGCTCTTTCTGGACAAGTGCAGGTCCAGAAGAAACATCACGTTGTGGCTTGGAGTTCTGGCTCAAGCCCCTTCATCCTGAGCCTCAGTTTCCTCATCTTGAAAATGGGGCTAATGAGGACAGGAATTAATATTAAAGGGCTCGACACACAACAAGGGCAGAGCCATTTCCCCATGTGTAAAATGAGACCGTCTCTAACGATGCCTGGGTCAGGAAGATCCCCTGGAGGAGGGCACGGCAACCCACTCCAGTATTCTTGCCTGGAGAATCCCATGGACAGAGCAGCCTGGCAGGCTACAGTCTATGAGGTCGCAAAGAGTCGGATACAACTGAAGTGACTTAGCGCGCACACACAAGGGCCCTTCCAGTGGTCTGAAACACATCTTTGCCAGGAGTTTCAGACCCCCTTCATCCAGCCCTCAGCAGCAAGTGTCCCCTTTGCTCAATGCTCCCTCCATCTTTGGCCTGAATGCCTGAATCAGACTCACCAAACACCTGGGCGCGGGGGAAGGCTGGGAACTCCTCCAGGCGGCGGAAGAGGTTGCGGTGGGTGTAGGCCAGGTCTCCATGCAACTTTCGAAAGTCACTGTACCGCTTCCAGACCACCACCTAAGAGGGACACGTGACTTGACTGGGCTGAGCAGTGGTGGGAAGCGGCCTTCCCCACCCCAGCCTGGCTCCAGGCTGTGTGTGCATTAGGGCACAGCACCCCCTCCTCCCAGAGCCAGGGAGGAAGGGGGGCTGGTCTCCTGTACAGTTACCAGTGTCCCTTCACTGCTTTCAGATCTGGAACCGGGAGATGGTCCCCTTCCTCCCATGAGGCTCACCTCTTTGACATCCTCTGGGTCCCTCTTTGAGATGAACTGAGGAAGAAAGGCAAGAACCGGTGAGACTGACATCCACCCCCTGTAAAAGACGGCCCAGCTACCTCCCAGCCCCCTTCAGAAGAGCAGAGCCCTTCAGCCAGTGGTATCAAGGGGTCCTGGTTTAAGGCCTTGAGTGTAACTTTGAGCAGTTTTTGTACCACGTACCTTAGTTTCTTCATCTGTCAAACTGTTACCGACCTGGGTCTTTGGACTCTTTAATCAATAGAAACTGATGAGGCTGGCTGAGAAAATCAGTTCTGTCTATTTGGGCTTCCCTGGTGGCACAGATAAGAAAGAATCTGCCTGCAATGCAGGAGACCTGGGTTTGGTCCCTGGCTCGGGAGGATCCCCTGGAGAAGGGAGTGGCTATCCACTCCAGTATTCTTGCCTGGAGAATTCCATGGACAAGAGGAACTGGCGGGCTACAGTCCACGAGGACGCAGAGAGTTGGACATGACTGAGCAGCCAACACACACTTTTCTGTTTATGTATGTATTTACTTGGCTGCAGCAGGTCTTAGTTGCAGCACATGGAATCCTTTAGTTGTGGCATGCGGACTCTTAGTTAGTTGCTGCATGTGGGACCTAAATCCCTGACCGGGGATTGAACCTGGGCCCCCTGCACCGGAAGTGTAGAGTCTTAGAAACTAGGCCACCAGTGTGGGGAGTCCCGCCCTTATAGTTTCTTTCTATTCTGTTTGTCTAGGTGCAACTACTCCAGTCCAGGGTCGGTCCCAGGTCCCAGCCAGTCTCAAAATGGGAGGATCCCTAAAGACCCACCGAGAGGACTCCATCCTCAACCCAGCTTTTATCTCACTTCCTTCAGAGGGTAAGTCCCTGCATTTCTTTCTGAAACCAAAGACCTCCAAGTTCTCTAAAGAATGAGGTTCTGTCCCAGGAGCCACCCCTCCGTTCAAGGAGGAAGCCTCTGTGGGTGAACACTCCTGGACACGGAAGTGAACATTCCTGGACACGGAAGTGAACATTCCTGGACACGGAAGAAACCTCACTGAGGTTGTGAAGAGCAGACTGGTGTCTGACATGGAAAAAAGACTGTTTTCATTAGGGCATGCTCATAAGAATTAAAAAAGAACACCCTACAGCTTGAAATAACTCTGACAGTTTCCAAACATCTCCAGTTCATTATTCTACATCCCAGGGAGGCAGGTATGATTCACAGGCCCATTTAAAAGATGAGGAAATGGAGGCCTAGAGAGGGCTTGTGACCTGTGGGGGGACTGCTAGCATTGAAACCCTGGCCTTTGCTTTTTACAACAGGCTTGCCTAAAATATTTTGGGTAAAAGAAACTACATTGAAAAACCACTGTGGAATATGTACCTGACAAAGGACTCCTTTCCAGAATATATAAAGAACTCCCGTGTGTGCGCTCAGTCACTCAAGTCGTGTCTGACTCTTAGCAACCCCATGGACTGTAACCCACAGGCTTCTCAGTCCATGGGATTTCCCAGGCAAGAATACTGTAGTGGGTTGCCATTTCCTTCCTCAAGGGATGTTCCCAACCCAGTGATTGAACCTATATCTCCTGCATTGGCAGGATTCCTTACTACTAAGCCACCAGGGAAGCCAACAGAATTCCTGTAGGTACATATATACACAGACTATTACTCAGCTATAAAAAAGAAGGAAATAATGCCATTTGCAGTAACATGGGTGAACCAAGAGATTATCATACCAAGTGAAGTAAGTCAGAGAAAGGCAAATATTATATGACATCACTCATATGAGAAATCTAATTTTTTTTTAAAAGATGCAAATAAACTTATTTACAAAACAGAAATAGACTTACAGATATGGAAAACAAACTTATGGTTACCCAAGGGGAAATAGGGGAGCTTAGGATGAACTTACACACACTACTATATATAAGATAGATAACCGACAAGGACATACTGTTTAGCACAGGGAACTCTACTCAATATTCTGTGATAAACTAAAAGAGAAAAGAACCTAAAAAAGAATGAATATATGTATCTATATAGCTGAATCACTTTGCTGAACACCTGAAACTAGCACAACACTGTAAATCAACTATACCTCAATAAAATTAATATAAAAACCAAACAAACAAGAAGGGGAAATCTTGCAGTTCATGTAAGAATTATTGGAAACAAAGTATAGAAAATAGTAAATTAAAATAAAGAACTTTCTATAAATCAATATAAAAAAGACAAACAACTCAACTTTACAAAATGGACAATATACTTGAACAGGCAACTCCCACAAAAGATGTTTGAATGGCCAAAAAGATGATGAAAATATGCTCATTAGTCATAAGAGAAATGCAAATTTTAATATCTCAGTGAAATACTACACACCCACCAAGAATGGTTAAAATGAAAGATGCTGATGATATCAAGTGTTGGTGAGAATGAGAGTATAAAATGGTACAACTGCTTTGGAAAACTGGCAATTACTAGGAAAAGTTACACATATGCCCAGCAAATGACCCGGCAATGCCCAGGGACTCTTTTTTTCAACTCTTACTTATTTATTACTGAATTATAGTTGATTTTGAACTTATTTTTGAACTGTGGTATTGGAGAACATTCTTGACAGTCCCTTGGACTGCAAGGAGATTCAACCAGTCAATCCTAAAGGATATCAGTCCTGAATATTCACTGGAAGGACTCATGCTGAAGCTGAAACTCTAATACTTTGGCCACCTGATGTGAAGAACCGATTCATTGGAAAAGACCCTGATGCTGGGAAAGATTGAAGGTGGGAGAAGAGGACAACAGAGGATAAGATGGTTGGATGGCATCACCAACTTGATGGACATGAGTTTGAGTAGGTTCCAGGAGTTGGTGATGGACAGGGAAGCCTGGCATGCTGCAGTCCATGGGGTCCCAAAGAGTCAGACATGACTGACTTACTGAACTGAGATAGCTGATTTACAATATTCAAGTATATACACATATATAAATAATCTTTTACAGATTCTTTTCCATTATAGTTTATTAGTTTATTACAAGATGGGATCCTGGTGGCTCAGACGGTAAAGGATGTGTCTGCAATGCAGGAGACCTGGGCTTGATCCCTGGCTGGGGAAGATCTCCGGAGAATGAAATGGCAACCCATTTTAGTATTCTTGCCTGGAGAATTCCATGGACGGGGAGCTTGGCAGGCTATAGTCCATGGGGTAACAAAGGGTCGGACACGACTGAGTGACTAATACTTCTTCTTGTTACATGATATCAACTATAGGGACTTTCCTGGCGGTCCAGTGGTTAAGACGCCAGGCTTCTATTGCAAAGGGTATGGGTTTGATCCCTGGTCAGGGAACTAAAACCCCACATGCCTGGGGGTGAGACAGAAAAAAAGAAAGGTATTGCCTATAGTTCCCTGTGCTATACAGTAGGGCCTCATTGCTCATCCTTTTTTTAAAAAAAAGATTTATTTATTTACTTTTGGTTGCACTGGGTCTTCCTTGCTGGGTGTGGACTTTCTCTAGTTTTGGAGAGTAGGGGTTACTTTCCAGTTGTGGGGCGCAGGCTTCTTATTGTGGCTTCTTTCATTGTAGAGCATGGTCTCTAGGGCACACAGGCTCAGTAGTTGTGGAGCACTAGCAGCTCCTTTGTGGCATGTGGCATGTTCCCGGATCAGGGATCGAACTCGTCCCCTGCTTTGGCAGGCAGATTCTTAACCGCTAGACCACCAAGGAGGCCCTAATCTATTTTATATATAGTAGTTTGTATCTGCTAATTCCAAACTCCTAATTTATTCCCCACCCCCCTTTCCTTATGGTAACCATGTTTGTTGTCTGTGAGTCTGTTCATTTTTAAATAAGTTGATTTGTATAATTTGTATAATTTTTTTAGATTCCAGACATAAGTGATACAATATGATATTTGTCTTGGGATTATCTTTTTATTTTCATTTTGTAAATTTTTTTTAATATTTGCATTTTTTAGATACAGGAATGACACAAAAGATTTGAGGAAAGACCATTTGAAACATCTAGGATTCTGCATTTAAATAATTTCAGAAGTCTTTACATTTCTGCTTTACTTTACTAGTTATTAATACACTACTTTAATAGTTGCCTACTTCAAAACTGTAAAAATACAAAAACATTTACAGTGAAAAATCTTCCCCAATTAGTTCTTGTATGTCATTCTACAGATAATGTTATACTGTTTCTATTTTTAATTCCTTTCATGATATCCAGTCTCTATACACTTATAACGTTATTACTACATATATCAACTTTCGTCTTTATCTACTGACTTCCTATTGTGTCTGTGAAGAGACTTATTCCTTTACTTCTTTTGAAGTGTATTAATTTTTAGTCATACACAGGCATAATTTTTTGAAAAAATTTAAAGTAATTCAACTCCTTAAAGAGTTTTCATATAAATATGAAACAAACCAATAGACAAAACTTACTCCAAGAGACTGGAGACCTAATCAATAGTTGGGCTGAGCCGGAGTTTTCAGGTTAACTTAAAGAAATTCACAGTCTGACGCCAAGCTGCCACGCATCGGGCGTGGACACCCACACCTCGCAGTCTGGGAGCAGCCGGCACGCCCTTTTAAAAGAGCAGCGCCCTCCTGTGGCCCCGCCCCTTGATGGCTAAAGAAGTAAACTAAAGCCGGTTACCCACCCACCCACCCCCCCTTAAAGGGGAAATCCATTCTGTCGTCTAAAACGGGAGCTTCCAGCAGCGTCTTGCCTTAAAGTAAAACACGGCCCC